AGAGGTTAAAGTGGAGGGGAGGATCCTTAAATATCCACAGGAGAAATAGTAAGGGGATTTCCTGAATAGCTACACTTTTTCTAGGCTCTTAATTCTGAATTTGGTGCACATAACCACGTGTGCCAGTGTATATAGACATTTTTAAAATTGTGCTTGCTATTTATGAAGTTTGAATATAAGAGATCTGCAGACTATTCTAAGTAATTTTGTTCTCTGAGCCAGTTTTAACAAATATTTTTGTCCAAAGACTGTCTAATTTTATTGACTTCCTCTTTAGTTCAAGATATAGATAACAGTAGAAAGGGTGAGGTGGGAATAAACTTATTTATTTTGCTATATAATTTAACTTGTGATTTTTTTCCATATGTATGGCACTTAAAGGAGATATGTGTGTACTATATGCACTTGTATGAAGATGATAAACTATAGGGATGTATGAAATCTAGTATTTGATTGGCCTCTAAGTTGCATGCTAGAGACAAAAGGGGAAAAGGGCTGGGTTGGGTTCTTTGGGTTTTTTTAAGATGGGGAAAAATAAAGAAAAAAGAAGTAGTGGCTTTTTTTCCTAGTGAGAGAATTCTACATTCTCTGTAGTTACTGTTTTCAGGGCTATATACTGGTTGGTGTTTATACTGAAGCTGAACCATGCATTTAGTCCAGGTTAGTATGTTGATTTCTTTTAAAGAAACAGTTTGTGCTGTGTTTTACTGTGATAGAAAGGCTCAGTGAGATGAAAACAAGGGCAGGCAACACACAGCCATACTCCACTTCTGCTTTGCACATGGGGTGGTGGTCGTAGTCCCTTGTTTCTCAGTTCTTGTGAGGTGAGCTGTACAATATGAGTGTTGTTTGCAGTCCAGTGATGATCCTAGACATGACTATGCAGATTCACAGAAGGGGATGTGAGTGCACGCACATTTGGTGCAAACAATGCCAAGAGCCAGTGAGCAGTCTTGCCAGAGGTCCGTTTTTTTTACTTTCTCAAACCATGGATAACCATGGGCTGATCAGAGTTAGAGGATAAACATAGTATTTCAGTTGGAAGCAGATGTCTAAGGGAGATAATGAAGTGATGCATAAACTACTATAGTAAGTGAATATGTTCTTCTGTTGAGATTCATGTATGATGACTTGATTTTACTGCATTTCTTGTTGTTACATAATTTAATCCAAGGCTCCAGAATATCAGATTGAGCAAAAGAATGTTGTTAGTATTCCAGGTTAGTACTTAACTCTGCTACCTGACTGATGCAACAAGATAATTGACTTGTGAGTATATTGTTTAACTGTAGACATCTGGTTTATGATCATTCAAACTTTCTTTTCAGAATTTTCCATATATATAGTAATATATGTAAATATGATATATAACCATGTACAATTTAGAAGATTATATCCAGTGCAGCCCTTCCATAAGTTGCCTGAAGAAACTTAGTGAGCTCTTGAAGAGACAGTTATCTTGATTCTGGTTCCTGCTATGTTTATGCCCTCCACTTCACTTGTTTCTGTGGTTATGTCTAGCTCATGTGGTGAAGACTTTAACTCACTTCACTGGAAACGATGAAGACCTGAACGTGCAAATGTATTTAGACATGAAACAACTGTTTCTTTGAAAATCTTGCAGCCAGAAGTCTGTGAAGTTATTGGCATTTGAGTGCTTGAACAGTTCATGCTAAATAGGTGCTTAACATTGAGCAAGTGAATGCTTGCAGGATCAGAATTTAGCAAAAAAAATCTGTTTTTCAATTACATTGTGTGTGTAAGATTTCTAAACTGGAAGGTCCATAGAATGTGCACATGTCTGAGAACAGTCTTGCAAACAATCCCATTTACTCCGTAAACAGAAAGAGTTTCAAGAAAATGGAGCTAAAAAGGGAAATCTGGCTGTTCTCTAGACTGGTGCAGCGGTATGATAGATTAGATTATGGGGATTTTTAACAGATTCAAAGGAACATTCCTTCAAAGGTTTACATTCCTTCTTCAGTGACTGACCTGAATTCTTTTTCTTTTATCCTTGCTGCTTCATACAGTCTAATTAACTCTTCAGTGTTTACATTAAGGATGAAGCATCCCTTATATTTTTTATTTTTGACAAGTATCATGTGTTTGTTTTGAATCTTGTTTGAATTTGAGTCTCAGTTGGGATTTCCAAGTTTGCTAGCTTTCCATGTGTTCTAAACAAAATGTACTTCAGAAGACAGCAATGTGGTTGAGATCTCTTGTATATATTTTGCGCAGTACCTAGACTATGAAGTACTATTGTTCTGTAAAGAGGGTGAATAGAAATTATTGTAAAGCGTTGGGAAAAGCATAGTATTGTATTTGTAACAATATTGTTCTTTGTAAACATTTAATGATCTCTCTATATAAATATAAATATATATATAAATATATGTGAGCCTGGAATGTTGATACTGCACATCTACTGAATGTAATTACTCTGATGTTTTCTGCCACAGGTCTCTGACCTCTGTAATGAAGCTGCGGTGGTTTGATTTTGGGGGGGCAGGAGTGAAAAGAGTGGGCTTTTTGGTTTGGATGGGATAGGGTGGGGGGGTTCTGGCCAGTTATTTTGTTGTGATGTATTTACTGTGCTACATTCCTTTATTCAACAGAGCGCTAATGTCTGTAAGATTTGCAACAATAAACGACAAAACAAAAATACCTCAGACAAGGCTGAGAATTAGCTCATACTGACCTAGGGGCTGGCTTGCCAATGCTGAATGCATACATGATTGGAAGGTGTCTGAACTTCTCTTTGGCCACTTATTCTGGAGTAGTTCTGTATGTGTTTCTGCAGGTGTGAACCACTGCTGTTAACTTTAAAACAGCATTCTTTCCAGGTAATACATGACACTGGTGCTCCTAAATGAAACCAATTCCTAAGCTAAGATGGCATCCCAGTTTTTAATGTGTGAAATGTCATCGTGTTTGCATCTTAAAAAAATATGTTTTTTCAAGATGCCTTTAATGTGACAGAAATACTATTTCATTGGCTGAATAACTTACACTTTTTTCATAAATGGAGCTTTGATAAAAATTCTTCACACTTAGTGTCTTCTGAAACCAGTGTTTTTCTTCAGATGTCATCAGCATGGTTTATTATTAAATACCTAATACCATTTGAGTAAATAAAAATTGTAATGTCTGTCCTTAGATTTAATCCTGGAACAGCCTGTGCTAAGGTTAAAAATACTTGTAAAACAAGGGATTGATTATGAAAAACATGATGGTATTTGAAAATCAACTGAAAAAAGTCACTAAAGAGGCATTTTGTCTAGTGAGGTCTCATAGGATTTTCTCTGCCTCTTAGGTTTGTCATGAGTACTTTGAAACTACAGAAATGAAAACATACACCACAGCTGATTCAGAAGATAACTACACACGGGCCTTCAGCCACTCAGTGGCTTTTCATAATATGAAGTACAAATATTGTCAACATCAGAGACTGAAGTATTTCACCTCAATGTGAAATCACATGCTTAAGTGATAGATTGGAGAAATTGTGAAGTCTCTGGTAAAGGGTGCAGCAGACAGGCTGAGTTTGCTTTCTGTGTTTCCCTGAGTGCCACCCTCCATCCTTCTGTTTATTACCATTCCTGTTAGAGGTTTACATACCAACTTCTGTATTACAAACTTTTCTGCATTTCAGTGGATAAACGCAAGTCTTTGCTTCAGCAGTACAGGTACAAATTTCACAGATTTGCCTTATTCACTGGGGACATTTTTCTTGCTCTTGCCTTCAGTGTTTTACTGATCCACACAGCGCACAAGCAGGCCCCACCCCAGTTCCATCACCCTATAATGCCTTGCAGGCTGAAGAGGCGATGCTGGTGCCCTGCAGGGACTGCCAGTGTATGAGAACAGGGCTGGAAAATAAATGTTCAGTTCAGAAGCATATGGCAGCAATCCTGACCTGAAGAGCACATGCAAGAGTCAGTGGTCCATGTGTCCCATAACCTGAAGAGGGCTAGGCCTGTGCTGGGCTGCTCTGTGCTGTTTCTACAGCTGGGCCTTCAGGAATATCCCTTTGCCACAGGATAAATTTAGCTGGTTGATTGTAAGAAAAGAACCTGGAAAGCAGCTCCAGTGGTACCCCAAATTGCAAATTCACTCAGCAGTACGTGTCCATACCTTTGTCTAGAAGTGCAGCAGTAAGGTCCCATGTGAATATCCTTTCTATTTGACAGTAGAAGTGATGAATGGAGTTAGTTGTTTTCTTCTAGAAAAACCTTGAAATACCTCAAATGATAAAAATGGGTAAAATAGATGGGATCTCACAACTTGTTGAGCCGTGTTTAATGCTGCACAATTTGGGATTCCCAATATCTGCAGGGATATAAAATTATCTCTACTACCTTCTTTCTTCACAGTATCATCTGCTCTAATAAACAGCATCTCAAATGAAACTATACAGAGAGTGCCTTTCTTACTGGGATGGTAACAAGCCAGCACATCCTATTGAAAAACATCTGTGCTTCAGAGCTTTGGTTTTGATTTTTGTTGTGTCAGTAAGACAAGAATAATACTCTGCCATTAAGTGAGAAGTTCACTAAACCAAAAGAGCACTTCTTTATATTTTTATTTTAGTTTGCAAATCAACACCATGTTTTATAAAGAATCATTTAAAAATTCTGAACACAATTTTTTTTACTAACTTACTTGGTATCTTGAAGTCTGCTTTTGTGTCTGGAGTTCTCAATACAAACCAAACTACTGGTAATTAGCAAAGTGATACTGCTTTTGACAGCTCCTTCCACAAGAATGATATATAATCATACCCCAAAACTGCATGTTACTAAACTTCAAAGCAATGCAACAGGAAAGCAACGTATTACACTATGCAACTGAGAGCCCAGTATGGTCAGATTGCAATCTGCTTAATACGCTTTGTCTGGGTATCAGAGTAATAAAAAAGTAAGACAAGGTTATTGACACACTTTTCCACCCCTTGTCAGTTACGATTTTGCTGTGCAGTCTGACAGAAGTGCTCTGCTGAATCATAACCAGAAACCAGTTTTAACCAGTACTTTAAGTACAGTTTTCCAGACAACACTAATAAGACTGTGAGGCCATTCATGTTCTGCTCCTTAGATCCTCCTCTCTGCTAGCTGATCTTCATCTGTGGTGTCAGGGAGTCGGGTCCTCACAGCTCTCTGGGATGCCATCTAGAGCATAGGTAACACGTAGACTCTCAATGGTATTGCCTCCTGGGCAGGTGCCATCACCTTTAAAAGGAAAAAAAAGGTAAATCAGTTTTGGTTTCAGGCTCATATTCCATTACAATAGTTTCTCAGCCAACTACAAAGAAGCTAATTGTAGTGCTGTCTGTTATGTCTCAAGAATAATTTAAAAAGCTGGAAACCCCCAGGTATATTCCAAGGAGGCATGGCAAAAGCAATCCCAGTTTGGAAAAGGAGTGGGGTAATTTTTCATGGTGGTGTTTTTAGGGTTTTTATTTGGTTGGTTTGGTTTCTGTTTTCCCCCTTGAAGGTGCACAGGAATTACCTCACCTCAACCTATGGCATATTCTGTACTGGTTAAAAGGAATCTAAATGTTGCTTCCTGCAGAAGCTGTTGAACTGTAATAACCTTCAGGCCAGTGTGATAAATTAAATTCTCATAAGGAATTTTTTTTCCCCTAGCTGTTTCTGTCAAATTTGTTGAGGTTTTTGTTGCCTGAAGGCTGCAGTTGGAAATCTCACTTTTTCTGCAGAACCTAAAGGACACTCTGATGTGTTTTGCATGAGAACCGAAACCAAAACTAGTCAGCAAATCACCAGTACCAAGCATGAGTCAATTCATCTATCCAAACGGTCTGTAAGCTATCCAAACATGTTTGATGAGGTCTGAAATGTCTGAAACTCCTAAATGTTCACTCCATTAATGTAAGCACAGATTTTCTATTTTCTGCTTTTCTTTCTTTAGAACAAGGTCTTATTTTTATCTTGGGAGCCAATCACAAAGAAGTTGCTTCGAGTGGGTTTTCATAAAAATTTCCTTGTCAGCCTCCATTCCATCCTGTTTGTAATAGCAAATGCTTATTTATAACATCTCCTCCCTCTCCCCTTCCATGCTCAGCATAAAACACTGTCATGTTATTCACAGTTCATGATTCCACCCCGGAAGACCAACTTGTTCAATTTTTGAATAGACAGATGTTCAGTCTTCTGATAACTTTCCTCTCTGTGTGGTTGATAGAGAAAGAGACAGTGCAGCTGCTCAGCCTTCTGCATAGTCCCTACATGAAACTTAGGTATTGAAGGAAGCTAATTTGGTGCAAAAACTTTGACATGCAGAGTGGTGAATGTAAGCATATACTTCCAAACGAAATCTGTGGGTTTTCACATCACTTGATAAATACAACTAAAAAAAACTACCTGCTCAAGCAAAGTGGCACATTGGTGATGGCTTCTGCCATATGTTGCTCATCTGATTTTAAAACATACTTGGCATTTTTCACCAACTCATGTATGTCAGGGCTCATGCTGCAGGAGGACTGCTGTGGAATCCACGCCACAAGCTATTTAATGTCTGTGTAAGACCTATAGTCTATAAGATATTGGGGTCTTCCCCTCAAAGCTCTTGCTCTTGAACTCTTCTGCAAGATGACAGCATGGAGTTGTTTTATGTTGCTGTGTGTCGCAGTTTCAAATCTGAACACTGTCCCTGAAGACAAAGAAGCAGCAAAGAAAACACTCCACATAGTTCATGGTACCCCCTGTGATTTCACTCCTGATTCAGTGAGGATGCAGTGCACAGTTTAACCACATAAAATACTCACTCTATAGGATTTACACTAGACAAAATGTCTGTAAAATAGAATCGTGCATAGCTATGGTTGAGTGCCTATCCCATCAAGGGGTCTGGAGGGACCCGATCCCCTTTCGGAAAGCTATTTGCCCTTTTGTGTATATTGGTTCTTTTCTCTTTTGTTTCTGATCTGAAGAGACCTGAAATGCTCCTTGAGTGTTAATGTTAACATATAGTCATACAAAACAGGTTAAGCAAACCTAGAAGACTTCTATGATCTCTCTTCAACTCTTTGTAACTTTTAGTTATTATCAGTGGAGAGGACTAGTTATATCTTGTCAAGCTGGTAGATAGTAATACTACAAAGTGGAAATTCAGTAGGAAGAAAACATATCCAAAGATTCAAAATTACGTTGCAAGGATTAAACACGGGTCAAAAAGGAATCAGTTTCACTGCCTTCAGTCCAAATAACAATCCACTGCCTTTTGTGTGAACAACAATTATCAGATTTTGACCCTATTAAAGAAAATATAAATAAGAGCGCCTACAGAATGACTTTAATGTTGGCTCTATACCAGTGTTATCGTCTATACCAACACAATGCCAGAAGGAAATGCAAAATTTCCTAGCAAGAAGGCACTAACTTGAAGCAACATCCATTGTTCCATTGCAGTGAGTTCCCTTTCTGCAGCACTTGTGTCTAACTTTCAGGTCTGGGTTTAAAGCTTCCAAACGCTTCTGACATGGAGTTTCTCTACAACAGAAATGCTCTGCCTTCATCTATGAATAGGCTCTATGTCATGTAACTATTGCTTCACCAGCAGATTCTATGGGCTGTTGTGATGGAAGTTGATAGGACAAAAAGAGAAAACACATGAAACAGCAGAGGCATGAAAACAGTTCCTCAAAACAGCAAGTGTAATCCAGGTAGACATGCTCCCAAATATACAAAATAAATGGCTCTTACTAAAATGTCCCATTTGCACTTACATTTTGAGTGCTAATACATATCAGCAGCTACTATGGGGATTCCAATATGCTCTAGTAAAAATTGCAAGACTCTTGACTTGTGCATTTTTTAGGACTGTCAGCAGAATCAAGGACTCTACAGTCACACTAGCAGTCTCCCCATAGCAACTAAATTGGATCATTGACATCAAAGTAGTTTCATCTGCTGTCCACCATGGGTTGTATTGTTTGGGGTTTTTTTGCTTTTTTGATGCTATGAGGATCAAGAAAAGGGGTGTAAATTTATAGGCTAGCACCAAATACACAAGCTGATTTTGCTTTAAATTGCTCATATGGACAACTGCCCTTGCAAGATTTTAGATGTCACTGCACTGAGAAATCCTGTGTTCCCCACCACTCGTCTTCCACCATCTCTCCCTTCTACCCAGACTAGTAATGCCTGCTACAAACTCTGTCTCCAGGTGTGAAAGCCAAAAGAGCAGCAAGGCTAAGGGATTGGGTGGAGGTTTAGCAAAGCACACACACACACTGCTGTAAGGTAAGATACTCTGATACTAGCTGATTTCTGCAGATATGAGGTTCAAAGCACTAACCTTCTAAAAAATGTTCTTTTAAGGAACCATTACATAATCACAGGTAGAGAAAATCAAGTCACCTTGAGGCGAGTGGCAGTGCAGACGCACAGAGTCACTTTTAGATTGTTTCTTCAGGGGAGTGAGAGCTCTCCTAGTCACTCGTGCAGGCCTGCAGCTCGCATTTGAAGAGGAAAGGCTTGCTCTGCTGGAAGACTCGCACGTTTCTGCAGCTGAGTAATCAAGAACAGTTAAGGAAAAGCAGTCAGAATAAAGCAAGTCTGTAGAAGCCATTAATAGAGATTATTTCTGATTTTTTCCTCCCATGGACACAAAAGCATAGAAGAGCATGGATGTGTGCACAGACCCACAATTGCTCAACAGTATCACTGGCCTAAAACCTCTTTGAACATTTGCAGAAACCTGTTCAGTCTTGTGCAAGTGGAGCAACAAAAGACTACAGTGTTGCCTAGTACAAAAATCACCTTAAACTACCTGATCCGAGAGAAGGGAGCTACAGTTTTCTTGGAGAGAAAGCTAAATCTCACAGAGCCCAAAATCCTCCAGCAGTTGTACCAAGTTATGACAGCATATGGCCAGAGAGGTCAGTCACCTTTTGCAATTCATTAGCTTGTAAAAAATCAGTCCCTATAAAGGAATTAAAAATCTTGTTTCATGAAGTTCTTTATTAAAATAAAGATTCTCCTGAATTCTTGTGATACATTTCATCCTTCCAATTAATCAACAATCCTGGAAATGTATATACGTAGTATGTGATGACACAGAGCAGGCACCAAGCACCCCTTGCCACCAGTGGAAGGTTGCATGCTTTCCTACTACAGTCAGCAGGGTAAGTCCCATTCTGCTTGGCGGGAGTGCTTTTGAAGTCAGTAAAACCATTTTAGCTGGCACAGAGAAGCTTAGAGCTCCTCCTGCAGCCGGCAGTGAGGACTCCCTTGGTTCTGCTGGCAGAGAGCAGCACGTATCTTTAACTTCCATCAGGAGTAAAATTAATTATCAGCCCTAATGAAGCCAAGGGAATCATGGCATCATACACAAATGCCCTGCATGACAGACTGCCAATATAAACTAGAAGTTCAGGTTTTATTTATAGATGTTACAGGGCATCAGGTGAGACCGCCCATAGACTTACTCTGCCACAATTCCAACATATGCCCCCATTTTATATTTCACTCCTGCTGTGGTTTAACTCCAGGAGGTGGCTCAGTCCCCCACAGTCAGTCAGTCACTCACTCCCTCACTCTCTGCCAGCGAAATGGGGAGGAGAACTGGAACAGCAGAAGTGGCAGAACTTCTGGGCTGAGATAAGGACAGCTGAGGGGAAGTGAGAAAGGGGGAGAAGAAAACAAACAACAAACCCCCAAAAAAACCAAGTGATGCAAAAGCAATTGCTCATCACCAGATGCCTGTAGCCTGTCCAGTTCCTGAAAAATGGTAACCCCAGAAAACTCCCCCCCAGGTCTTTGTTGTTGAGTGTGATGATGCATGACATGAGACATGCCTTTGGTCAGACAGAGCCATCAGTCCCAACTGTGTCCCCTCCCCAGCTTACATGCTGCAGGGAGGATGGCAGGGTAAGAGATAGAGCAAGCCTCAACACTGCCCAAGAACTACTAAACAGGAGCTAAAACATTTGTATGTTATGAATACTGTTTTGGTCACAAATCCAAAACAGCACCATGGTGTGCTATGAAGAAAATTAACTCCAGCCAGCCAGATGCTGTACTCCTCCCTGAATATAAATAAAGGAAGAGATACTGCTACGGTATTTCTTTTTCTTGAATTCAGTGCCCCTAGAAGCCTTGGCATCTAGAAGAAACACTGTTAATTTTCTTTGTTAAGATGTTCACTTTCTTTTTTATCTGAATTTAACAGCCAGGCTGATATTTAAATGTCTCTCTACAGACCTCTTTATTAAACAAAAATATTGGACAAACCAGTTAATGATGGAGGGTACACTTTGTCACATGTTCTCAGGTAGAGACCTACCTTTGCTTCTTTCAATGGAAGTTTTCAAATACAAATGCATCTAACACTGCTCATCATAGCCTTTTTGAAAACAAAACAAAATTTCTTGACTGTCCTTCACAGCAGTTGAATTTTCTATAGTTTTCCTTTGCTGTTTCCCCTTCTCATAACTTTTAAAAGTCACCACGTAGCCTTGTGTTTGTTATCCTATTTTTGTTTGTGCTCAAAGAGTTCTGAGAAAGCAACAGGAGTTTTATCAGTAAGCAGGCCTTGAGAATGAAACTTTTTGCTACAGTTCTTCTGGACTTTTTTCTGGTTATCACAGCTGACAAGACACAGAAGCATCCAAGTGCTTGTTTTTAGAGGTTTCAGGTAGACTGTCAGTTTAAGGGAACTTTGACAGAGCTGACATGTGGTTAAAGTATGACCACCTGTACACTTTTTTCCCCCGCTGACACTACTTCATAGGAACAATTTCAACTGATGCACTTCAAACCAAAGTTTTTTTACAGTTTGATAAGTAGGTTGGCAGAAGACAGGCCACAGTCAAATGAAAGATTTGGGGCTTCTCCCCTGCCCCATTGTCTTTACTCTCTTGTGGTGTGACTATTGTGGAGACAGGCAAAAAGCCATCTGTTCCACAAATGACAATCCTGCCATAATGGCAAGTTCAAATGAAAACTGGTACAGATTTTCAGAGGCTGTACTGAAAAAGCTGCCTGTGACTTAGCTGGAAGGCAATAATATTTAACCACAAGCATACACTGCAACAAAGATTAGGTTGAAAATTACTTGGAACCATTGGCATGGTTTTCTAAACAGTGCTGAGCAAAGCTTGATGTGGTCTCTATGAGCAATCTAAATATGTCCTGTACCAGTATGCAGAAACAATTTCGTAATTCTTTCAGTTCAGGCTCTATAATAGAGTAATTCCTAATTTAGATCCACACACTACAGCATTAGTCTATCCTTTCTCTATTGTCATCAGCAACAAAACGTTAACAGGTCCCCATCACATATACTAAACAAAAGGAAGTACTGGAGCTGGACATCATTTGTTGCAACATGTGGATGTAGTGTCAACAAGTAACTTGCAGGTTACTAAAAAGGAAATGCATCTTCCTTTTTGTATCTTAAGTGCAAAAAACTTTTTATGCATTTTAAACATTAAGCCTTATTCCCACTACCCAAAACAATCATGATTCTGTATCTTTTGCTTACAGTATGGTGTCTTTCAAAGAACTAATAGTGTTGCTGCTACATCAAGTTATGTGTGTTGGGTAGAACAGCTCTAGAACCAATTTTAAAATGTACTTTTTACCTTGAGAGTCTTGGCCTGCACTCTCTTCTGCCGAATCAACACATTTCATGGCACTTACTTGTAGTGCACCTCCCTGGAATAAAATAAAATACAAAAGTTGAAAAATTACAAGTCACCATCTTTCTCTGGCATTTTCTAAGAACTGCAACATCAGCCTTAGAAAGGGAACACTTTTGCTTAACTGCACAGTTACTATTTTATATGTGTTTAATTCCACTGCAAAATCAAGGCTAGTGAATGTCTAATATTAATGCTTACAATCCAGGTCAGCCAATTCTTTCCTATTGAGTATTCCTGGGAAAAGCACCTGTGTTCTGAAAACAGCAGTGAAAAGAGATCACCAGTCATGGTAAAACCCTGACCTAGTTCCTCATGACAGGAGTGCAGGTGCCTGAAGGAAGTAAAGCAAGGAGGTCTAGAATAACCAGCAAGGGATCTGCTCCACAGTGCTTTTTGCTCCTTCTCCCATGCCCAGGCATAGCTTTCCAACTGGCAAAACTTTTCAACTCTAGAAGTAAGTGATTAATTAAAATCTTTGGTGAAATTTACAGCAAGCCACATCTGTAATCAAATGTGTCCTCCTGGCTTATGTTTACCACGCCTCAGGGCCACCTTACCCTTACAGCAGAAAAAACAAGTCACACTTCAAGCTCCTGTGGCCTGTACCTGCTCAGAGATGTTCGAGTTCTGCACATCTTCATAAGGGGGAGGTGGGTCCATACGGAAGAACACTTCAGCACCACTGATTCGTGTTGCATAAACATTGGGCAATGAAAGCCCATCACAGAAAAGTGTCCTGCAACAAACAGCACAGAGCAAATCTGTCAGTATGGCTTTCCAGTCGCAAAAAAACATCATCTGCTATCAAACTCCACCAGCTTTCCTGTGCCATTTTTTGGCATCTCATTCAAAGCTATTGGACTCGCCAAGAGCTGTGACACATTTTCTCAGAGGAGGGCAGGAAGTTGCTCCTTAGGAGGTGCCTCTCTAGTGTGTTCCCCAGAGCTTCAAACATCTTTGGGCAGTACTGCACCTAGGAACACATTTCAGTTTTACTTCAGAGATTGTTTTATTTCAAAAGATTCAAATACAGGTTGTCCACTCAAAATGTGACAGCCTAGCTCTGAGATTTGTGAACTACTGAATTCTTAATTATAACAGAAATTCAAGATACTTCTTGTCATAGGTTTGAAAATAGATGTTGGAATTTCTTCCCCAGTGTTATCCCCCCTTCCCCCATATCTGTTTCCTCCAGGATTGGGGGAGTCCGGAGGGGGAGATGGAGCAGAGCGGCAAGCACTAGGCAGCATAGGATCCTGGAGGGGGAGGGGGAAGGTTCCCTCTGAAGAGTGGGCCAGGGCCACGTGTCAGAAGCCCTTTGTCAGGAGGATTGGTTTTTTGACAGAGTGGGAGCTGCTTTTGGATTTTTTTTGGCTGCCTCCTCTTTTTTTTTTTTTTTTTTTCCTCAGAGGGAAGTTTTAGAGTTTTTTTCCTTGCCGGATACTGAGTGGAGAGCAACTGAGAGACAGACTGACCCATCTTGGAGCGAGGCAGTCTGCCCTTCAGGGCTTCAGCCTGCATTAGCAGAGCTATCTGACCTGAGACTGTGCCTGTGAGAAGGGGAACCCGTTGCTGGTCCCTCATGTGGCTGCGAGCAGCTGCTGAGGACAATTTGGCCTCAGCTCCCTGGTTGCTGCAGGTTTCTCCACCACCCACCTGGGGAACTGGAACTTTGTTTTGTTTCTTTTGAAAGTTTTGTTTGCACAATTTGTTGTTTATTAGGGTTTCTTAATAAAGAACTGTTTGGGGATGGTTTTTTGTTTCCTTTTCCACACTTTGCACTTGAAGCCTCCTAATTTCAAAGTTGTAATGTTATTAAACTTAGACACTTCTGATCTTGTGTTTTATAAAAAAAAGGCCAAATTCGAACTAAAGGCTGTTTTTTTGATAGTGCTTGATTAAAAATATTATAGTTGATCAATTCACAACAGGCTTGTATGAGGCAAATGTACCTCATAGCTAACCTTACTCCTCAGTTTTCAAAGAGCTCTCTGAAAGCTTAAACGCAGCAGAAATCCCAAAGACCTTTTGCTGCATGACCTTTTTCTTAGGGGTTATCTCTGAGAGGAAAGAAAACAGAACAGTGCCTGGAGAAAGATTTTTTTTTTTTGGCAAATGCCAATTTTGATAACACACGTTTACATTATCCCATTAACACGGAAGCAACTGTGGTGGTTGACAGCAGAGTCAACTATGAGACCTTCCCCACACAACCTTCAGAGAAGTCTGTGACCCAAAGCATCTCAGCTCTTCTCTGTTTATTTTCACATTTTGACACGCTGATTTAGTAATGAGCAGTAACCTCAAGCAACACACAGAAATCCACCTTTTTCTCTCTGGACCCAGGTCGGGCTTGCAACCATCAGCAGTGCCTGCAACTCTCTACAAAGCACCGCAAGACAAAAAAGCAAGTCCTTTGTCCCAAAATTTAGGGCTTCTCTGGACACTGTCTGGAGGGAACAAAGATGACTGTGAAAACTACTTTCTTGCAAGCTGAGAGGAATGATGAAAATGCCCATGGAAGACTGCTTGCACAGACAGGAAAGAAGAAAACTTCCAAAATGAGAACCTGGGAGCCCTTTCGTGAAAGGGTCCTGTCAGGGAAATGGAGGTAATGCGTGGAGAAATCTGAGGAAAAGAAAGTAGCTATTTTGATAGCTGGTCACTGCATTTTTAGTCTTAAAAATGGGGAAAATGCAACATGTTAAACAGTTTTTAATTTCAGGCTATTTCATCTGCTCTGTAAACTTTCAGAATAATTTAGAAGTACTATAGAAACTGATGCTCCCTTGACATTAGTTCACTTTTTCCCAATGTGTTCATGCTGATCTTAAATTCAATGTAAACCACAAAATTATATACATTTTGAATCTTAGTTTTGTTTTTAAACCATGTCTGATCTGGCCTACCCAGTTCAGTTTCATCTTGAAAATTAATATTGTGTCCAACAATTATATTAAAACTTCTTACAGAACATGCAAATAAAAAAGCATTCCCTTGAGTCCCTTATTTTTAAATATCATTTCTAGAATGTACCCAAATGATACTTTAAATTGGACTGAGGTAGATTTCTAGCCTCCAGGTGACTGTCTGGTTGCCCTACATGGATCTCCTCTTCCCTTAAAGTCACCTGTCTTATAACACTTTCATAGAATCACAGAATATCCTGAGTTGGAAGGGACCCATAAGGATTATAAAAATACAACTCCTGGAGAACTTTGTATTTTGTTTTTCATCTGGAAACTCAGCTGTAACTGTTTCTGTTGTGCCAACACTGAAAAATTGCTATTTTTTTATTAGTGAAATAACCAGATTATAGGTAGGAGTTGACCAGACATTTGTAATGCTAGGATTTTTTGTCTACCATTAAATAAGTGTAGAAGTTCTCCCACGATCAAGTGAGCAAACCAATTGGCTTTGATAGCAGAGCCTCTGGCTTTGCAATTTAAAGAGTGGAAGAGAATAGCTACCCATTCCAAATATGTCCAAGGACAGAAATTAGGCCTGTCTCTTACTTTAATTCTGCACTTCTGCGTAACTATGCTGAACACCCTGAAACAAGTAGCCTGACTTCAGAAAGATGTTACCACCACTTAAATGTTATTACCAACAAGATTTAACACAGTCACAGGCAAGGTAGCTACTCAATATTAGACTGCTGCTTTGAAGAAGCATAGATAGAATAATATGCCAGTAGTAGAATAATATGCCAGATGAAGAATGACAGCTCCATTTTAAAGCAGGGGAACTCTGAAAATCATGTTTCAACAAATATTGATTCTTCCAAAGAAATCACATACCATTCTGTTCTCATAATCAGCTTGAACCAAGACTTACATAGGATGTTTTTAGTAATGTTTGCTCTTTGGTGTTTTAGAGGACTCGTTCTTTCTAAAACCTACTACTGTGCCATAACACCATTTTCTAGACAATCCCAGGACCACACAGTCTTGAAAGTCATGCACACTATTTCTGATGAAACAGTGAAATAAACTAAACAGTCCTGCACACTGCAAAAAGTTGGAATTTTAAGCAAGAGTGGAGTGACAGTCTGCTTGAGCATCATACTTTATATATAATATTGTGTGTTCAGAACAGAATAAGGCAGCCCCACCTGAGTCATATGTTAATAAAGAAAGTCAAGCTGCAAATTACTTTGAAGAGCACATAACCACCTGCAGGACAGTGATTAGCTGGCCTGTCAGTGCAGTCAAAACATACCCTTCAGGCAGCCCAAACTACCAGAGGGAGAAGGGGAATCATTACGGCAGAAAGGTCCTTGAGAGGACACCATTCAGGGTCTCTCACACAAGTCTTGCCAAGTGGTTGTCTGGCTTCCCATCACTGCCCTGACCTGCTCTTGACAATATCATTTAAGTTTTCAGCTGTGTCAAACTGTAGTATTCTGTTACCCAGAAGCAGTTCTTACAGAAACTAAAGTGAAAACCACAACATTTTTCCCCTTAGCCACACTGTATTTATGCTGCCTTCAAAATCAACAAGTTTTTTTCTTCTTTTTTATTTCCCCTAAAGTCACAAACCTTTTTCAGTCAATAACAGAGAAAAAAGTCTTAAAATAAAAAGAGTAGGTAGTGTGTCCAAAGTCACTAATAGACAGGAAGAGAGTGTACCATTTTACCTGGGACTCATCTGGGGAGGATCAGAATTACAAGCTGCAAAATAGGAGGGAGGTGGCACTGGCGGGACAAAATCATCAGGATCCGAAACGCGACCTTGGTCTTCAGTCTGAAGTTCACCCTAGTCAAACAAACGTTCTGTTAAAACCCTTCTGAGCTACAGAAACTGCTGAACTGGGTAACCTAGTAATACTGTTACTACCGCTGTTTACAGCCTGGTGCTCACTTACTAGGCAGCATCTTCTTGATGTAGTTATCTGCCAGTAATGCAGGACAACCATTGTCAAGCAAACTGCAGTGATGAGAGCATTCAGGACACAAAGGCCTAAGAGAACTTTCTGGAAAACATGAAGACATGTGAAATTAATAAAAAAATTTAAATCAAGGTATTTGTAAATGTTAAAATAATAATAATAATAATCAACAACTAAATTTAAAAAACCACAGAAGACGCAAGTTGACTGTAGCAATTACTTCTAAGAAACATATGTGATGAAGTCTTTAGCACAAACTCCAAGATCGAAGTAATTTGCAAAAACTTGCTTTGCCCTATTGATTGTCCTGACAGAGATTCAGAGGGGTTTAGTACAGTTCAAATGTGATTTATAGTCCATTGATTGATCAAAGAATTATAACCTTTCTCTTAACTTCTGTGGGAAATCCAGTTTCAAGATAATCACCATTAAAAAAATGTTAAAGCTCTTTTCACATTTGAAGATTATGCTGATCGGGAGTATTATTTCAGCAGTTTCTAAGCCAAGAAAGGCTGAAAAGTTCAAAAGACTGGTTAGGGAAGTAAATCATTAGCTAAAATTTACATCGTATTTGCCTATACAGTCTTGTCTCGATTCCACTGTTGTTTTGGTCGAATAAAACACTTGGTTGCATAAAACTGCTTATTGAATCAGCAATGCATTGGTCAAAACCCAGAGATAAAAAATAGCTAAACTGTTACAGAACCATGAAGAGCTTCTGACTGTGTGAAGACTAGAAAAATAACAGAATTTTTCAACAGTAAACACAGCAGCCACTTCAGCACTGCACTGTTGCACAAGCATGGACATTATAAAAGAAGTCATATGAAGCAGTGTGTGCAAGATACCTTGAGGAGAAGATGAGCAGAAACGCATGACTTCACATGGTATAGCTTCAGAATCGTCTCTACTTCTGTGCATTCAACGAGATTAAGTTCTTCGCAACAGAAACAAATCTTGTTTTCCTTATCCATCTTAAAGAAACAAAACTCCACTTTTTAATTTTAACTGCTTTATGCAACATTTTTACCTGCATAATATTGAACGTATGTTTTAAACTAAACATGTGATCACAAAGAAGATTGGAAATACAATACCATAGAATTAAATCTGAGCGGTTTGGTATGCCAATGATTCATGCATTATAAGCACTTCTTATCTGAAAACCAGCATTATGGATAAATATTTTAAAAAGACATTTAAATACAACTTAATTGTAAACAAAGCTGCACTGTTTACTAAACAATTTTATTATCTATGCTACTTCAAATGCATAGTAGCCTAGAAATTCTCTCTTTCACTGATGCGTAAACCACTCTATGAAGTGTACGCATTTTCTTTGATTCATGAGTGTATCTTGCATTTCTAAGGATGGAATGAAACACACATCTATAACTGCAACCTAGTCAAATCATTAATAGTCACATCTGTACAGCACTTGTTGTTTGTAACTTTCAAATTAATACTGACTTAGTTTTCAAAGTAAAAACTCAATGTTTTCATACCTAGAGATAATTGGGTTTTTAGCTGTTAAACTTGATAGTCATGTCAACGCTCTTCCACCTACAGAAGCCACTCTACAGAGTAATTAATGATTGCAAGAATGCCTTTTGGGTGTACCCTCTGCTTCCAACCACAGATGGCTCAGAAATTCCTGAAACATTAAACCGTCTCATCAGGAATAACTTTATCAATTCTCAGTGCTGCTTTAGTACAGCGATACTGGTTGAATCTATACTGTGAAGTGCTTCTAATCTTGGACTCTCACTGCAATACGCCTATTGGCATGTCAAGGAATCAACAATACCCTTCTTGAAGCAATAAAGGAATGGAAATAGATATTTAAAGATCTTCCCATTAATTCTTGAAGTCCTTCAAGCTTTTACACACAATCATCTTCATTACCAAGTGATCCCACATTGTATCCTCCAATTTCAATTATTTCACAGGTTTTGGTTCATAAATAGTCATTCTTCCTTCTTCCTTCTTTTCATTAATAAGAAGTCACACTTCTTATGACGACCATTTCAGAAAAATCTTTTGCATTCTGCCCTGTCTTGCACAGATTGCTTCTTCCTCACATAGAAGTGTTCTGAAAAGCTAGTATGATTTTGTTTATCTTATTTTTTTCCTCACAGTTCCTAATGTAAGGTATCAACACATGGTCCTCACCACGTGAGACAAAACAAGAAAAATAATCCCACCCACAGATTATAATGACTAAGCTTTTTGTAGGTAGCTCACCACTACCAACTCATTATTCCTTATGCTAGAATCTTCTTAGATTACTTTCAACTCTACATTAGCACATTTTGTGATTTCAGCACAACAAGCTAATGTACCATAATGAGAAGAAATAGATGTAAATCAGTATGTGTGCTCACCAAATTGCATCTGGGTACTCTGGACACAAACTCAATGCCTTGACGTCCTAACGTAAATCCAGTCAGGCTCAGTGGAACACAGATGAGAGACAGCAGAACAAGTAGTCTATTCTGGAACAGCAAAACAAAGTTATCTGCAGTGGCAATAGGAACCCAGCTCAAAGAACCTATGATAGTGCAAATCCCACTCCCAAACTGAAAATGGGGACAACACCACTGCTTTTTCACAACTTCCCATGACTTCAGTGCCCCAAGGCGTCTATTCCCAACACCTTTGTCTTCTCTCTCTCTCTCCTCTTATTCTGCACTAGTTATGCAGAAGTAAAATACACGCAACTATTGAAAATGTCAGCAGTAACAGCACAGGCAACTACAGGTTTTTCTGAAGCTCTAAGTATGATTTGCAAAGCCCTCTGACTTCCACTGTGCGGTCATACTCTTCCACCATGTTTTAGCTGTCAACACATTCAGACCAGTAAAGAAACCTGAAAAGGAGGAAACACATTAAGCCAACATTCACGATGCACTGAATTTCCAGAATTATTTTGCAGCAAAAATAAATGAAAAATATTTGTCCCAGTACAGTGAGGATGGAGACACTTAAGAGATTTTAGTAATATGATTTTATTTCTTCCTGGATACTAAAACCAGAACATTCATAACTCAGATAATACCTTCAGATATAGAGACCATCTGAAAAATGAGCAATAGTAAGCATAATAGAGAAGTTGAAAAAGGACAAGCAGAAGTAGCGGATAAAACGATGTCTCAGTTTCACCTATGCCCTCACAATCTGCACTTACATGACTTGGGATATGGATTTTGAACACATATAAGAACTTTCCATGTCCCAGTTCATACAGGTAAGATTTTTATGTACTTCAGGAGAAAGTACTATGGGTAAGACTACTACTTTAGAGACAAATAAAAATTATACTCCTCCTTTAAGCATTCAATCTTACAAATCAAGTATGAGATCCCTACTGTCCTGAAGAATCCTTGTTAATAACAACCTGTTCAGTCAGATTTCTTTCTAACAAAATGGTCTAAATTTGAAAAGCAGGGCATGACAAAAAAAAAAAAAAAAACAGAAGAAGAGAAGGAAATCATGAGGTACATGTGTTTAATTCTTCTCCAGGCATCTTTAGAGCAGATCCAGAAACAAGGACTTCCTAAACATGCACAGAGAACACAATGGCTTTCCCAAATAATTTAGCTAATATACCGTGGTTAGCTACTTGGAATATGAATCAAAAAACCATCAGAGTTGTTGCACAAATTCTGTTCCCATTTTCTGAGGTTCAGGGAAATATAATCACCCATGAGTGGACCAGAGCCAAAGAGCATTACTGTAAAGGCTCATTCCTTAAATTATAACATTTCATTACTAGTAGGCTTTACAGAAGTTTGACATTTTCCCATAAGGTAGGTTTTAGTCTCAAAACCCCCAATAACTGAATTAGCTATCAGTACTCCTCTGAAGAGGACTGGGACTATTTTGTGTTCGACATACTAAAAACAAAATAAATATTAAGAGGAAGAGTATTTTCTCCTAGTTTCCTACTAATAATGAAAACACAGGTTTTTAGTTCTAGTAAGCACTCTGAGTGACATTTGTTTTTCTGTACAAACACAGAATTTAACGATTTTTAAAAAATTAACTCCTTACATAGCACTCAAAGAATCAATACCATTTCTTACGCTTTTATCTAGATTATCTCAGTTATCCTTTTGATAGAAACTCATTTGAGAAAATAGTTTCACACAGGTATTTCATATAAAGAACTACATTCAACACAGGGCACTGACAACTAGGAATTAGCCATTTCTTTAAGTGAAATAGAACTTGTTTCAGCATAAAACATCTTTATAGTAAAAATCTCATTAAATGGTATTATGAAAAACAAGAGGTATATTTGTCCTCTTTCAAATGATGAGGAAATGGAGTAAAGAAAGAAGTGATGTGGCCAAAGGAAAGAAAGATTTGGGGGGAAAAAAAAAAGAAAATTCACATTTAAGTTTTCTCCTTTGGTACAGAAGCTGCAACAGAAACCACTCAGTGTACAGCTATATAAAATGTATATAAAATCAAGACTCCTAATTGAAAATTTTGAATAAAAATTATCAAGATTTTTTTTAAGAAACATGGTAAAAAATCAAAGAACAACAAGGAAGAGAAGGAACATTATTTACAAATATGCAAACCAAGGATGACAATTTCTGCATTTATGTTCTAACAAATCCTACCACACATAAGCACAATCTTGATCTGTTTTTTATTACATGTATAGTCTATTTTTGACGCATAATCCAATATTCAGACAATCCTGCCAAAGAAGCAGAAGAAAATTCCTCAGCATACAACCTAAAACACTACCATAATCTGAACCATAATTGTAACATTCACTACTACATATCTGACACTGGACAAGACATGGTACTTGAATCTCAAGAGAAAAAAATCCTTTTCCTTTCTGCTCCATCACTGGCCAGCATTTTCACCAAATCACTGAAATTGGAAGGGACCTCTTGAGATGTCTAGTCCAATCTCCTGCTCGAGCAGGTTCATGGTGTCCCTGCTCGTGACAGAGGCCTTGGAACTCAATGGTTTACAGCAGGCTGCCAAAGACAACGTCTGGTGGGTTTTGACTGTCTCAACAGACAGATACTTCACAACCTCTCTGGGTAACCTACAGCAGTTTTTGACCACCATAACAGTAAAAAAGTAATCTTTTGTTTTGATGAAATTCCCTATTTTTTTCAGTTCTGCCCATAGCCTCTTCTCCTGTCAGTGAGCACTACTGAGAAAGGCCTAGCTCCCTATTCTTCCTTCCCTCCCATCAGCTATTTATAGAGATGCAGAAGACCCCCCCTCTGGCCTTCTCTTCTCCAGGTTGAACAGTCCCAGCTCTCATACCTCTCTAGGCATGGGAAGATCATGTGGCAAATCTCTGTCTAATTCAGCCCAGGATACAGTTAGCCTTCTTTGCCACAAGAGCAATTTGCTGTCTCATGGACAGCTTGTTGTCCAATCTGGTTTTATTTTGCAGAGCTGCTTTCCAGTAAGGTGTTCCCCAGTGTGTACTGGTGTCATTTCCCTGCACAGACAGGACTTTGTATTCTCCTTTGTTGAACTTCAGGAGATTTCTCTCAGTCCATTTATACAGCCTGTCCACATCCTTCTGAAATGGCAACTTTTAGCATATCAGCCATTCCTCCCAGTTTTGTATCACCTGTGAACTTGCTGAGAGTGCACTCTGTCCCACTGTACAGACCATTCACTTAAGTAGTACTGGCCCCAGTTTCTACACCTTGGACTCTGCTGACCAGACTCTGGTTGGCTCAGCTTTGTGCCACTGATCACAACTCTCTGGGCTCAGTCAGTCAGTTTTCAATCCACCTCACTGTTCAATCTAACATACATTCTGTTAGGTTATTTCATCAGTTATATTCTCCTGCAGGTGCATGTTTAAACTTCTTCTCCATCACTACTCACCTGTAAGTAAAAACAGGTGTTCCACTTTATCCCAGTGACAGAAGATCCCACCCAGAGGAGAGAAGTACTTCTCAACTTATAAAAAACAGACAAAGGCAAGCATTGTATTTTAAAAGTCACAACAGATGTAACTGGTCTTAATTGCGGTGATAAAAATGGAAACAACTCAAATTGAGGCTTCAGTTTGGCTCACAGCCTTCATCTTCTGAGCATTAGATACACAAGGACTGTGAAGAGCTGCAGAAAGTTGTGAGGAACATTTATATGAAGTAAAGTATATGAAATCAAAGTGTATTCTAATGTTAGACACAGTATTTGCTATTGTCTTGAATGGATTATCTCTTCCAGCTAAAAAAGTCATCATGGACTTTGAGGACTCCAAGGAAGCCTAAATTTGCATAATAAAGCTCTGACACTATCTTTCATTCTGCGTGGGGAGATGGCTTGTTGTCCTGCTGCTGCTGCCATTGAAGGGAGTACCTAATGCCAGAAAGGAATTGCTTCCACTTTAATACGTGCACACAGGACTCATGCCTAACCAGGCACTTCAATGAAAGAAAAACTTTTGTTCCACAATCACCAACTCTTATATCCATGTACAGCCTACATATATACTTTATAAACATCCTGTAGGAAAAGACAAGTTAATTTATTAATTGTACATATGCATAGCAATGATAGCAATAATTAAAAATTTCAAGACCTTACTAAAGGTCTGTCAGTTGTGAGAGCGTGGAGACTCATAACACAACTGTCAAAAAAAAAAAAGCACCACACAAGTAAAAGTCAAATTAATTAATTTAATGAAAAAATCACAGATTTCAAATGAAGGACTAAAACACCCTGCATATACATATGAGAGAAAAGCTTTTGCAGCTTAAAATGGCTAAAAGCCTCTCACGGCTTTTCTTAGTCTCACAATTAAAAGCATTATTTCTTTTTATTCGCTTGTACTGACTGTAAAACCTTTGTATAATTACCACTTATTGACCTAATGCTGGAGTCTTGAACATGAGCGAAGATGTTAACATTGAGCTATTTTACTTCTAAAATCAAGAAGAAAAGGTACTACTACAGTAATTAATTCTCACCACAGTTGAATGACTTTGCTTATTATAAAGCACATGACTAGGAAGAGATTGCTTTTCAGGTGTAGGGGCATGATATGCAGCTTCTGTTTATAATGCCTTATACTGTTACTAGCAGGGCTAAAATTTAAAAACATCGTCGGAACTACACATCTTGATCTAACCACTAAATTTTGTTAAATTTATGCAAATCAGTCAAAGTGCAGATATCATAGTGGTAGTCAGCCCTAAAAAAATCTTTATTTTAAGGCCGCTGGGATGTATTTTGTTTCTGATAAAAATTTTCAATTAAATACAAGGTTTACTACAAATAAATTCTTCAAAAATTTTCAAGGTTATAAATAAATGCTTGAATTCCATAAACTCTTCTGTGTAAACCAAAATTTTCTGTCATAAACCAAAAATACTAACACTTTTGAACTATAAAAAAATCTTTCTAATAAAAACTTCAAATACTTGTTACCATACTGTAAAACACAAGAATAATCCAGATTGAACGACGCACGCTGAACGCAAGACTTTGACTTTTCTGTCAAACCACACAAAGCTT